CCGGGGCTTAGTGGTTGGGTGTGCACTCCGCTGCTGGCGGCCCGCGTGTGGATCCCGGGCGTGCACTGACTCACCGCTTCTCCGGCCATGCTGAGGCCGCGTCCCACATACAGCAACTAGAAGGACATGCAACTATGACATACAACTATCTACTGGGGCTTTGGGGAAAAAAAGGAGGAAGATTGGCAATAGCTGTTAGCTCAGAGCCGGTCTTCCTCAGCAAAAAGAGGAGGGTTAGCATGGATGTTAGCTCAGGGCTGATCTTCCTCACAAAAAAATAAATAAATAAATAAATAAAAGAAGATTCCAATAACTCACTCACGGTCACACAGCTAATATGTGACTGTGCCATGTGTTTGAATCCTAGTCAATGTGAGTTCAAAACCATGTGATCTTAACCGAAATATTATAATCATGAGGAGGATGCAACTGGAGCCCATCCTTATTAGAGCCATGCAAAGGTGGGGTCCTTCCCCTGAGTGTTTCTGAGAGGGACCAGGTAGGAAGCTGAGACTGCTCAGCGGGAAGCATCCTCTGATAAGAAAAGCAGGAGGCAGCCACAGGTGCATGACCTTGCTCTCCCGCGTGAAGGACCAACTTTATCCTCTCTCCCACATAGGCCCAAGTTACTCTGAGACATCTGCCTCCTTTGTGGTTTATTTCTGTCTCTTTTAGGAGTCTCTTTTTGACTTGAGTCACATGGTCTTGTGAGGATCTGTGTAGAGACTGTGAATGTACACCAATATGCATGTGTTTCTCTGCCTTTCCCAGCTTCTCTTGCAGTTGGCTTGGTTATGTGCTAGGTCTGGCTAATAGAATGTGAGCAGAAATGATACATGTCCCTTTTGAGCTAAGGTGGTTAAGCATCTGGGTTGCCTTCCCCGCAATACTTCTTGCCCCCTCGTCTGCCAGCTTGGTGACATAAGAATGACTGGAAGGCACAAGATGGAAGGAGCAAGTTGGAAGTAGCGTAGGTCCTCAAGTGCCCATATGGAGGGCGGCCACCTGGAGGAGAGTGACCCAGGAGAGCAGCCCAATTTGCATCCACATGACCTGAATGAAAAATAAACGTTTATTGTGTTAGGTCACTGGGGTTGTTTGATACCAAGCCTATTCTGACTAAGGCAGGTTTTTACTAAAAGCGTAATTACACAGAATGTATTTTAGGTGAACTCAGGTGTGGCAATTTCTCTCAGTGTATCTGTGTGTCTGTGTGTTCGTATATATGTGGTCCAAGAGGAGTTATCCATGAAGGATGAGCAAGTGGGGAAGAAAAGTGCTGACCTGATAGTGGCTGACTGGCCAATAGGGTGTCCTTTCTGAACACTGGAGGTTAGAGATATCTGCCACTAATAGAGGCTGGAAGGTCAGGAGTATAGTTTCCAATAGCGAACTTGATCATCACAGATCTCTCTGTAATGCCAGGAAGGTCTGTCTGAGCTGATGGGGGCAGGGCAGAATATTCTGTTCTGTAATTTTGCAGAATACGAGATAGTTGGGGGCTTATCTCTTGGTCTTTTTCCATGTCAGCTGGATGGCTGGTCAGTTTTCCAGGCCGGATATTCATCTGGAGCCTGGGTGTCCACTGGGAGGCTGTAACCAGAGTGACTAGCCAATCTTGTGGTACCAAGATGGCGGCTACCAGAGTCACATGATTTTCATATTTCAGGAGAAGCAACCACAGCAACCAATTTAACAGAATTCTGAGTGTTGGAGGCCTCTAAGGATCCCCCGCCATAAACCTCTTACAGATTCCTCCCTGCATCCAAACACCTTGAATGGATGTCTCCTGTCTGAGGTTCTGCATTCTAAGCTGCCCTCTCCTTTCTTCTCATACTTCTCACCAAATATGAGAATAACCACATCTTCCCAGCTCACCTTTCTAGACTGAAAGTTCGCCAAGTTATCATGAGTCAGGGGCTTCACATCATACCGTGAAAGACACAATGAAAGAGCCCCCCTGGTTATGTTAGAAGAAATAGTGAGATACCATGTTTTGATCCTAGAAGCTTGTTGAAAAATGACCTTTTAAAGACGAAAGCAGGTCTAGTTGGTGGAAAGGAGAGTAGAATAAAGAGTAATAAAGAGAAAATAAACGGCTTTAGTACTGAGGGAAAGATGTATCAGAGTGAACAGTGAATAAAATATTAGGGAAATAAAAGGAGTGGAGGTGACCATTAGTAACAGTTAAAAGTAGAAAAAGATAAGTCATTGATAATTGAAGAGAAAGATGAAAAAGGATAAAAGGAAATATTACTGTCTGAACAAAGAGAGCAGGAAGCCATGGACGGAATAAACATTCGCTGTAACGTGCTAAAAGCTGAACAGAGAATTGGTTGAATATAAGTCTGAGGTATGAGCAGATATACTATGTCTGCCAGGCAAACAGACAGCACTTTCAAAGAACTTTATAGAATGGTGAAATGTGTAGACATCAGCTGATTGATTATGCTGTGTTTATACCTTCTGCAAGACAAAATTCACAATGATTGGAAACCAAAATTCTTCAATATTGCAAAGACAAAGGAAAAATGGAAAGTGCAAATGCTGTAAGTGGAGTCCAAGATAATGTTACTAACCTGGCTCCTTTTAACCTCTGTTATTACCTAGAACATCAGCTTACATTTACATGTCACTAAAATATCCTTAACCATTTCCTGGACCCTGGTATGTGACCTCAAATATCTACATATTTTAAAACTTTCTGGTTCTGTTTGATTCTTTTTAGTTTTCATCCAGATGTTAGCCTCATGTCAATCTAGTCTCCATTCTGACAGCACCCACCACTCACTGGTTTCTTGGTTAATCACATTTTTCAGAGATAGAAAGGTCTTGTGTTGAACCATAAGAAAATGCATGAAAGAAACGGAGAATGAGAGAGGCAACAGGGAGAGAGAGGGAGGGTGAGAGACTTAAAATGTTAGTCGGTTAGGGGGAAAAGTCCATTCAATATTTGGGGCTTTATATTTCCTCTTGCAAGTGGAATAGAGCAATACATTGCTACTACTTCTGAAAATCCAGATTTTCCCAGACAATATTCAACAGGCATTCTCAAGTCTGTGAAAGCTTTCTTCATTTAGGCACAATTAACCATATTCGCAGGGTCTAAACTCATAACAACCTGTGTTCATTGCTTTGAGATGAAGTCAAATGTACCTAACCAGATCTGCTCTTCATATATTTTACCCTAGTAATACATATGGACCTACAGTTTCACTGAGAGAGGGCTAGCCAGATTTTGCTGATCCAACAATTTATACACAAATTCACATATAAAATTTTAAATATCCTCAATTCCCATATCACTGAATTTTCCTGAATGTGCTATCATTGATTGTCGACTCAGTTGCATTTAGCATTTACTAGCTTACACAGAACCAACAACCATAACCCACTTAATTACTTAGGGGATTAAAAAAACACACAGACACACACAAAACTGTGATATTGGAGTGTACAGTATGGTCTAGTTTAAATTAAAGAGATCCCCCAAAGTATGATTGCTTCCAGCTTCTCAGTGGTGAATTAAAAGCTGTTTGGTGTCATGAAGATTACAGAAGCAATCACATTTATGAGCCTGCTTTGCATACCAACTCTATTAATTTCCATACTCAGGGTGGCTTCACATTTCCACACATGTTAATATAGCTGCCATTTGGGATAATCGCTTAGAAAAAAAAGAGAAAAAGAAGAGAGAGAAAGAAGAAGAGAGGAGAGCCAGAAATATGGTTCTCTTAAACCAAGTTCCATTTGAAGTATATTGATTCTGATAATAAAAGAATCAAAAGATAAATGAGGGTTCCTGATGGCCTGACCCAGGAGTCACACTGAGGGATCAAGTTAACATGAAATCACATATTGGAATTCACTTATTGTGCCAGTCCTGCAGGTTGTCACTACAGACTCTAATTATTTAAATGATTTCATTGGCATAATTGCATCAAGATGTGCATGGCCTTCACCTCGGAGAGCTCCAGTGATGCTCAACATTGCATCTTCATTATCGCATTCCTTTCAACCCTTAAACTGTGTTCTAGACTCACAGAGCAATCCAATCAAGCAGGCTGGTTTCTCTTCTCCCCTTTTTCTTTACACATGCCAGCCACATAGCACAGGAATTAAGGAATGTGGTTAGCCTGGAAGGCAAACCCTGAGACCGTAAGGGCAAATGTACAATTATCTTCCCTAAAGGGACCTTAGAGCATCTGACCAAACTAAACCATTGTTTTCCTGTCTTTCATTCCCAAATGTTAAAGAATGGTGCTGAAGAGCCTAGAATTAAATAGTTATTTTTCTACAATCAATTTTAAATTCTACTGTGCTAAAAGTACCCTTGTTATACATTTAGCAATGCATACCATGCCCTCATAAAGATAAAATAATAAATATTGGCATTAAAAATAGGAAGAGATTATAACCACAGATCTGAGGGGAGCATATTTAAGGAAATCAATTGGAATTTGGGGGGATTTGAGTTTAATTCACAGAGTAGCCAGTAGAGATTTTAAATCTTTCTGAAGACCATCTTATTAGCCTTAAGCATAAGAGTTTTGAATTCCTATGCCTAAAAATAACCAGAAGCCAACATCCTGCTGTCACCATTATTTTGGTCTAATGCTATGTATGCGAAATCCAGGTAGACCAGCAATCCATAGGAAGGCAATGGTTTTGCTCTCAGGGATCTTCTCAGGGGAAATGGATTTCATTTCCTTTGCACAGAATAGTTTGCACTCACATTGGATTCTGGCGGTCCCCTTTTCTGGGAGTAGTCAGAGAATTCTCATTGATGATAAAATACTAAAATGAGATACACATCACCTATTTACTTCTAAGCTGACAAGGCCTAATTCAAGGCCTTCCACTGTGGGTCAAGCAGTGGTATAAGAAAAATGGTCAGAGAATAGTTTAAGGACTGAGACACATCCTGAGACACACTCTTAGCCATTGGTGAATTCAAATATGAGAATAGGCCAAAAACATTGTCAAGTGACGCTGCTTACAGTTTAGAATCGCCTGGTCCTTGATGAATTCAGCTGGCTGATCGATATGGAACAATTTCTGCTGAAATCCAGGAGTGCAGTCCAAATCTTCTGCAGATGTTAGCAGCAGCACCTGAGAAAACCGAAGCCATCAATATTTTAACAGCAGCTTGTGTGTTTGCCCTGCTAACTTTTACCAAATCTGTGACTTTTAGAAATGAGCTGAGGTTTTCATTTCATTTCCCAAATGAAGAGGTAAGTTGATACTTCTCCTGGGGCTGCCAACAATTCGTTTTGGCAATGAGATTTGGAAAACGTGCAAATGGGAACAGCTGCTGCGGTTTCCATTAAGTTGCACGAAAAGAAATAACTTCGTCAGATTTTTACACCTGCTAAGAATCTCACCATGATTTCCATGTGTGAAATTTCATTACAGAAACTGTCAGTTTCATAGGATGCCTGAGTAAAATGAACTTCACTTTCATAGATGCAAAGAAGCATTGTCATCTGTGAAGAGGAGGAAAACAGAACTATTCCATTAGAAGATACTTCTAAAAGGAATCTAGAGCCACTAGACCTTCACAGTCCAATATGGTGGCCATGAGCCACACGTGGGTACTGAGTACTTAAAATGTAGCTGGGTTGAAATTGTCAGTATAATATACATGTTGAATTTTGAAGACTAAACAGCAAAAAGAAAAATTAAGTAAAATATCTAATAATTTTTATATGGGTTACATGTTGAAATGATATTTTTTTTTTTATTTTTTTGGCGAGGAAGATTAGCCCTGAGCTAACATCTGTTGCCAATCCTCCTCTTTTTGCTGAGGAAGATTGGCACTGGGCTAACATCCGTGCCCATCTTCCTCTACTCTATATGTGGGACGCTGCCACAGCATGGCTTGATGAGCAGTGCATAGGTCCACACTCAGGATCTGAACCTGTGAACCCCAGGCCGCCGAAGCAGAGTGGGCGAACTTAACCGCTATGCCACTGGGCCAGCCCTGAAATGATAATATTTTATAGATTGGACTAAGTAGATATGTTAATAAAATTAATTTCACCACTTTTTTTGATTTTTGTAAGTTTGGCTACTAGAAAATTTCAAATTTGTAATTGCTTCCAAAGGCTCAGCTTTGTCTTTGCAAATCCTTTTAGGAAGATTTGCAAGTTTAGGAGTCAAAAATTTAGGAGTCAAAAATTTAGGTTAGATGTTTTGTAACATAAAAGTATGTGACAACACTCCTGGACAAAGGGTCATTTAGTAAAGTAAGAAATAGTTGTAGGTTTAGTAGGCAAAGACTCTAAGCTCTGTAAAGATGAGAATTACCTCTCTTGCCCTACATTTTATACCAAGCACTTACTACATATACTGGCACAGAGAAGATGCTCCATGGTATGCAAAATACGACTGCTAACATTTTTCAGCCTTTAGCGTATGGCAAGCACTGTGCTAAGTTCGTTACATGCCTCATCTTCTTTAAGCTCCACAACAGCCCTAGGATGTACTTAGTATATTATGGGATACATTTTATAGACAAGGGGCCTGACGTTCTAGAGAGGCTAAAACACTTGCCCAAGATCATACGGTTAGGATGAGTGGAGCCAGGATTTGAATGCGGGTTTAAGCGTTCTCTGATTTGGTACACTATCAGAGCTGTGCCCATACCTCTCAGGCCTTCCATGTCTTGGGGCAGGACTTTGCATTTTTTTGCTTGAGATATTTCTCTGAAACCACGGAAGGCTGCTTTATCTGAGGGGGGGTGTCAGCAGACAGTGTTTGGAAATTCACATCCCCAGGAGCAGCCCTTAACCATAACTGACGAGAATTAGTGCACAAACACCCCAGCTCCCTCACCCCTCAGGTGAGATATCTTGAGGGAAAGTGTTCTGTCTCCCAGTTTCCAGTCGAACGAGCTTCAATTGCCCACAGTGGTCTCTGGCTTGATAACACAGATTCTATTAGCTGCCTTCTCTTCTGTGGCTCATTTCCTCATTCCCTGTTGGTATTTTTCTGATACCACCCTCCAAATAAAACTACTTGCACTCAAACCTTTGACTCAATGTCTGCTTCTTGGGAAACCAAACTTTGATACCAGAATACAAACTCTTAACCACCGCACACAGGCTATTGAAGGAATTGATTATCACCCCCACCAGCGAACTCAAAGGAGTGTACAAAAAGTTGGAAGCTCTGGAACCGGGGCTTCTCTCTAAATACCAGCCCTCTGAAATGTGCTGAACCCCAAGGAATGAGAGCGAGAACCAATCTCCAGAGGTTCACGGTATGGCCAGCCTGAGAAACATCAGAGAAATTGAAATGGGAGAGTCACCACCCTGACCAACATCATGTCTCAAAATCAAAGGGGGAAGGATGCTGTCATCCCTTATCGGAGCAGTTCCACTTGTAAAACTTTCCCTTGCCTTGAGAGCAGGCTCCGGTTACATAGCTTCTGAGGCAATCATAATGCTGACACCCCAAGTGTTACACACACAGAATGCAGATTCAGGACTCAGAAAAATTTGCTGGCAACTTTGCAAGCAGAAAATCTATAACTGGCCAACATTAATTCATTTTAACAGCAAATGGTCAAAGGTTGCCTCCAGGCACCCTGTGCCTGCAATTATACGTTAACCTTCTGATCAGCTAATTCTGCCCTCAAATCCCAGATCAGTAAACGAGTAATCCCAAAGGAACTAAAGGAGATGACATTTCTCCAGGGATCCTGAGCGTAAGAATCCAGAACTGATTGAGAATTCAGGTGAATTGAGTCCCCTGTTCTTGTCTTCCTATGGCTCAGTCTCTGCCCTGACTCCTTCGCAGGCTATATTCAGGATTCCTCTGGAATCATAAAGGAAAAATAAACCTTTTCAGACTGCTGACCCTCAGGGAGGGTGGGAGTGGTGGGAGGACTCCCAGAGGCTCAGCTTCGTTTTGGCAAATTCTTGGGTCATCCCATCCCCCCAAGTTCAGGTTAAATGCTGTATAATATAAACGCATGCACTCGTCTCCAGGGCAAGCTGTGATAGCGAGGTAAGAACTAGTCAAATAATTCATTCACTCACTCCTCCTCGCATTAATTTATTCACTTATTCCCAAATACTTATTAAGCCCCTGGGATTCAGCTAGCACTCTGCTAGGCGTTGTCCTGGAGCTCATAGAGAAGCACAACAGCACAGTATTTAAAAGCACAAACTCCAGAGTCATTTTTCTTGGTTCAAACCTTGGCTCTGTCCTTTACTGACTGTGTGATTTGGCATTTTTCATGGTTACTCTGTGTCTCAGTTTTATCATCAAGAAAAATATGGAAAATAAGATATGCATTGAGAGGCGCTGTGTGGATTCAATGGGATGATGCATAGAAAGCAACTAGAAGAGTGCTGTGCTGGATAGGTCGTCAGTAAGTGTTAACTGTTAATGTAGACTAGGAAAGGTGAGAGGCATTAGCAAATAATCATCTAATTAATTGATTAACTAAAATTAAATTTTAACTTGAAAGGAAATTATAGGTCTCTCTGGGAGCATGTAAAAGCTGGGGACAGGGAGTCCAACTTCATCTAGGGGGTCAAGGAAGGCAAATTCACAGAAGGGACGTTTCTGCTTCGATCTCAAAAATGTGTCAGAATTGGCCGAGAGGAATAGAGACCTGTCTTTTTAACCAACACTCCTTGTTTTCATGTACAGTCCTTTGTGCCTGGCTGGGTTTCATGTAACACATCTCTGAAATTACCAAACTGCATTTAAGAAAAAATACAGACTAATTTAGGGCTTCCTAAAAGCTGAATGGGCAGTGGGAGTAGAATATTCTAGTTACTGCTATTGCTCCTTGACTTTTTAGCAGAATTTAAATAGTATCTGTGCATGAACTTGTCCTGGATACCCACTCTTCAATTTCAATATCACTGAATTTGGTGGTGGGATATGAAGAATCATTCTTCATTGGTTTAAAAATGAGTACATGGACATGACTCCAAAACTAGGAAAGCCCCTTCTTCAACATCATCAGATGTCACTCTTATAAATATACTATCTGGACATACTTTTCCCCAAACCCTCTTTAACATTTCCAGAATATATGTTATGAGCAACATTCCAAATTTATCTTTAATGCCATAGCAATAACAGCCATGCTGTATGGTTCTTTTGTTCATTTATGCATTAGCTTGCACCTCATAAACAATAGGCAACAAATACACCTTTGAAAGCTCAGCAATGATCAAATTTTATGATCACCAAAGGATTTCTATTACTTGAAAATTACAATCAGCCTGCTTATGAAAGCAGATTCATGTTCAGACAGACTATAAGCACAGGACAGAGCCACATTTGTTTTGTATGAATCCTAGTTTACCAGCCACCATTTACCAGCTGTAACCTTGGCTAAGTAGCCTTCTGTGTCTCAGTTTCCTTGGATGGAAAATGGGAATAATAATAGTATCTTATGTTAATTATTGCAAAGAGCCTTACGTAGTACCAGACACACAGTAATTGTTCAATAAATGTCTGTTATTATTGTTACTTCTATATATTACGTTTAACCAATATACATGACTCACTGATATTCCCCAGGGTAGACAATGATAAATATCACCAAAATATTGCTTTTGTTACTGCTATAAAACTGTTCAGTGGCTAGACTGTGCTCAGAAATATTCGAAGGGAAACAGCAGGGTCAGGTAGAAGATCAGGGAGGAATGTGCATCTTGGGATCAGCTGCACGATGAGAACATCAGCGCCTGTTCCGGGCTGAGTATGTGCTGCTTTGGAGGACACCAAACATCCCTTAAAATGGCAGCCCAGAGCTCTGTTGACTACATAAGAGCCACCGCCCTCAACTTCCTCATGGATGGCAAATCCTCACATCACACTCTTTGTACCTGCTTCTCTTTTAGCTTCTATTTCTTTGCTGCTGTTCAGAGCTTTCTCTTTTAAAAAGAAAGGGTTTATGTTTATCCTGACAGATACTGATTCAAGAACATAGGCAACTTTGGGATTTGCTTCCAGAAAAATTATTTTTTCTGTCCCAGACTGCAGGTTGCCAGCTGGCAGCATATAGGATGGTCGTGGCCAGCAGATGTGGTTAGTTTAGCCAAAGCATCTGTCATAAAAGTTAAATTACCATGTTATATAGA